CTGCTGTTGCTAAGGGTCCCAGGTATGACCTGCACGATTCCAGGACAGTTCGAACAGACTAACATGTATATTAGAGTTGTAGATGTATAACCTGCATAATCAGATGGTGGGGTTTTGCTGCTGCTAGGAAATAGTTTCAGCATTTATTTTGTGTTGGTCATTAAAGATTTACACCTATCATCTAATTTAATCTCCACGACAAGACCATGTGGTGGGAATTATCATTATCATCATTTTTATAATTATGAGACTAAGCTTCAAGGATTTGAATCATTTTTTCCAAGTCATGGCTCTTGTCCACCAAATATCTGTTGCATGGCCTTCTACCAAGGATAATGTTTTCATGTCTTGATTATTTGTAATCTGCACCTTGAGGTGATTCCCTCAGGGGAAAAAGCCTGGCTTTGAAGGGAAAGACATCTATGCTCCTAGTCTGAACCCAACTAACCTGCCTCTCAGAGCCTCCCAAGACATGCAAACTTCTAAGTCACATACAACTGACATGGGACATTAATAGTGTCTATAAAGAAAAACCAAAGGTCCTTTGTGAGTCAGAACAGGTAAATTCGAATGAAGTGAGGTCAGCAGGCAGAAATCCTGAGTGTCAGGTGGCTGTAACTTCTACGGCCTACTCTTGCCTTCTCCTCTCTCTCCCACAGGCAGTCCCACCTGCCTTTCAATACTCAAACTTCTTTAAAAAGTCCTTAATTTTTGAAGGAGGACATTGTCCTCCCACACCCTATACACAAACTCCAAACTTCTCATGGATCTTCTCTATTGTAAATTTGTGAAAAGCTCAACAGCTTTAGAAGAACTTTACTTTCAAATAGCACTATATAGGCTCAGCATTTCAAAGGGGTTTCAGGTAGTGAGAAGGAGTCCACCATATTAGAATTGCTATCATCTTCTCAAGACCCAGGTACTTTCTGTGCTGTCCAATGACTTGATGGCAACACATAGCGATAGGTGCATCTTGGATACAGTGTCCTCATGATTGGCCTCCCCCACTGGATATACAAGCTGCACCACAGGGGAGCACTATGTTTCATCTGTGGGTAGGGAAGAATAAACCCAATAATTTGAAAAACATAAATTTCACTAACAATCTTCTTTAAATGCTTGCAACCAGCTTCAGATATATATACATGCAATTTTTTTATTTTTCCTCTGAAAATACCAAGACCCAAAGGCCTCTAGGAGTTGCCCGCCCCCCCCCCCAAGGCCCATAATTCCTGAAAATGTTCCCCATAACAGGTTTCCAGCTTATGGTGGGTCCTCAACATTTGAAAATATAAGCTGATTAATTGTGAATGCAGTGGCTTGTCTGGCCTGCATCTCACCTGACACTTTGTTCCCTTGGAATTCCATCCCAGAGTAAGAGGAATATCAGTTTCAGAAAATAAGGCTTCCCTGACATCCAACCTGAAGTTTCCTTCTGCAAGTCTCATCCTGTTACTTCCATGAGCCACACTAAATAATTCCTCTCCTCCACTGCCATTCTCCCTCTTCAGAGATTTGTAGATTGTTACCATGGCTTTCCCTTCATAATCACTTATCTCAGCCATATATGTTTAATTCTTTTCATCTTTCATCATAAATCAGTCCCTCAACTCTTAAGTCAGCTATCTGTTCTTTGGACTAGTTCCAGCTTTCCCAATTCACTCCAATAACTGATATCCCTTCTGGGAGCTCCAATTTCCTTTCTATCTTCCGTTGCTCTCTTAGCTCTCTTCAGAAATGAAATGGGAACGGACTGACAGATGTATGAAGTCAAAGGTCAAGTATATCACAGAGCACACCTCTACTTGAAGATGCTTAGGTATCTTCAAGGAAAGTCTCAAGCCATAGAGTTCCTTTCCTGGAGCAGGAAAAGGCGTTTATGAGGAAACAGGCACAATTCATCATCCTCTAAGCCACTGCCTGGCAGATGGCAGAAGCACAATGTCAAAACATCTATGAAGCAAGTTCCAAACTAGAGCAGTGAGCTGTGTAGTAGCCTGCAGGCTGGCATCTTTCCTGAAGTTTGGGCTGTCCAGGATGGGGGACCACATCTACCTCTTCTACAGGTTAGTGTCTCAAGAAACTGCCTCAGGCTTGGAAATGCTGATCCCATTTATGCATTCAAAGCAACCCATTAAGAAAAATCATTAGTGGACCATACATTATAAGACCTGTCCTCTTAGCTAGCTTGACCATAAGCAATAAGATAGTATTGCTTTGTCCTGACTGGATGCTTTTCCATTTTTCCCATATACCTATGCATAGTACTTCTCAGGTTTAGAAGTCATCTTCAGTCTACAAAATATGGTCACTAGGCCCCTCACTTCAAGGAAAGGCAGAACACTCACCCTCTCTTCTCCCCTCACGACCTGCACAGCTGTGTACCAGTGGACCAGACCACTAGTCACTTCAGCAGAAACAGGGAGAAGTAAGTTGAGTTATGCCTATTCCCTTTGTATAATTACAAAAGATCCTATGTCACAGAAGTTAAATGTCTTTTCTAGAAATCAAATCATATATCAAAAGAATAACTCCATTTCCTCAATCATGATACATAGAAAAATCAATCTAAGCATGAGAACCTCGGCTTGAATTTTCATACAAGAAAGTGAATTGAACCACAGTGGTGTATGTTCCCCTAAACATGGAACCTAGTATGATAGGCGTGTTCACTCCCTACTCCCTCCACAAGGACTGCAGGGTAGACTGTATTCAAGCAAGGCTGGAGAAGCAGTGGTAAGAGAACAACTGCCTAACTACAGACAAGCATATGTCTCAGAGCAGGAGAGTCCAGCCTGTTCCAAGTGTGATCACCACAAGGCCTGAAGTGCTTTTCAATAAGCTGTCTGTCTCTCAAGAGGTCATGGGGAGCTCATCCAGTTACACTTAGTGTCTTATTTGATCCCATCAATAATCATTTGCTCCCAATCCTGCTGAAAAATGCTTGGCCAAAATTTCTAGCCTTTTAATGGCAGAAACCTGGCTTCTTCTGAAACCAGCATTGCTAGATGTGTCAAATGATGCATAAGGGCTTGGTCCAACTGCCAAATGGACTGTGCTGTTGAGGGAGGACTTGGGATGCTCACAGTGCTTCCCTACTGCCAGTAGCTGAGCAGATCTTGGAAGCTTTTCCTTTCTACATGAAACTCCCTCACTCAGCCACTTCAATTCCTTTTCTGAGGCCTGACTGGAGTATATTCTTCAAATGTGTTAAGTATCGCAGAGACATCCATTGAGAGTTTAGTGCAATGTGCCTGTTTATAGTAGGCAAGTTCAGAACTACTGAAAGGACTCCTTATGTTGGTATCAACATCTGATAACAGCTGATATAGACTGCTGCGGCCTGTGGTCATTTAACAAGAGTCATGATGGGAAAGCTCCAGAGAAGCTCATAGACATGAAAGAAGAAGAAAATCTGAATTTCCAGAGAAGTCATTTGTATATCCATTACAAAAACATTAGCACTAAAAGAGAACATTGTATGCCTAAACCACAGAAACCATGATGACATTAAAGCACAGCTGTTCTTTACAAAAGTATCTGTGGAGAGACAACAGTATTGGTCTTTCTAGATTCACAGAAGGCACTACTGAAACTCATCAGATCATGCCTCCTACCACTACAGACTATAAATTCCAGCATCAAACCCACGTTAGGTGCCAATGCTACCAATGTTATTACTAAGTATGCAACCAGACTCTTGTTCTTGAGGATCATGTACCAATATGCATTCTGTGCAATCACTGAGGAATCTCAGCTTCAGAATATCTCTGCTGCATGAGAGTATTTGGTGTGTGTGTGTGTGTATGTGCATGTGTGTGTATACAAGCATGAAAGATGCTTGTAGCTGTACAATGAGTCTTTTTCAATGTTTTTCATCCAATTAATACAAGACATTAGTAACCACTGAAGCGTACGAATTTCATTTATTTCTGATGATGAGAATGATAGCAAAGAAACAGGATTTGCTCAATGAAATTAGTGTAGGCTTTTAAAAGGCATGATTTCTTTTCTGTGCTTTCTCATTCATTTACACTGTGTATTTTATTCACAATCTTTCCCTAGTGGTTCTTCTTACAAGAGAAACATCCATTCAAAACCACCTGGTTTTCCAGTCAAAAGATACTCTGGAAAGAGTCATAAGTAAGTGCCTGCACACACACCCACAACTCAGTGGATGTGGGGAGAAAATGAGGGAGTAAATGAAACAGAAACCTCATTTCAGGAGATTCCAGCAGAGAGATCTGCAGCAAAACAAGCCTGCCAGAGACAGTCATACAGAGCTACTGCTGCAGACGTTTAAGCAAGAATTGGAGGGAAAGGAAGAAAGCAGGGGAAGAAAGGCAAGGGGAATAACTGTTGTCTTCCAGGCTTCACAGTCACTCCCTCAAAGCAAGAAAATTTTGACAACTTTGCTCCCTTTCTCCACGTCTCCCTCCTTGGCCCCCTCCCTTGGTTCCCCAGGGGTTCTCCACTTACATCTGAGAGAAAGAAGAAAAGTCTTAGTGTGAAGAACAGAACAGGGGCTGGCGTGGCAGAACATATTAACAAATAAGAGACAATTCCAGAGTAAGCCAACATTTGGAAAGGTCAGCCAGATGGGACTCAACAATATGAGAGAAAGTGCATATTCCCTGAGAAATTCCCCAAATCTGTGGTAGCCAGAAGAGGAACAGTTTTGAGATTTAGATGCTATATGGGCATTTAAACGACCCCAGAAAGGGGATCCAAAAAGAATTTTTGACTGGCACTGTGTGTAAGTTGTTAGAAGGAAGCATCTTTCCAACAGTTAGAGAACTTTTCTGGCAACTTGTCTGCTGGAAAGGAAGGCCTATGGGATGGTATGAATTCTTTCAGGGAGAAAATATGGTCTAATTAGAGGAGATATGGGCGAGGAAGACCGGCTAAGGTTCTGTGAACTGGGGATAGCTGACAGTGGTTTCAAACTGATGTGACTAAATTAAACCAAATCCCCACAAGGCCGGGCGGGAGCTGCTCACCGGTCCCGAAGATCTGGAAGAGAAGGCGAGGCTGGGAGGCACGGATTGCTGCTGACAGCCTTCCTTCTCTGCCCACTTCCGACGCCTTTTTCTCAGGCATGAGTCGGATCCTCAGCCGCCCTTCGCCGTGGTGAATCCACCAGCTGAACAGCTCGCTGAGGTTGAACTGGAGCAGCCCCGCAGACGCCTCCTCTGGTGGCCCGACACAGCCCTCAAGGATCGCTTCCTCTCCCAACTCCAGCACCAGCTGCTTAGCGCGTCGGAGCTTGCGAACCGAACCGCCCTTCAGCACCCTGGACAGCGTCCGTGCTGGGGCCGGCGAAGCGTCCGCGGACACCCCAGGCGGCGGCCTCACCAGCCGAAGCAGTGGGGCGCAGTCAAGAGCCAGAGAGCCGCGCGCCTCTGGTCGACCAGCCCTCAGCTCGGAGAGGGACGACGGTGGCGGCGGCGGCAGCAGCAGGTCCCGGGCATAGACGCGGAAGAGCGAGGGCACCACAAAGTCCACCGCCAGGCTCTTCCTCTGCAGGCGCGAGTAGCTGAGCGGCTCTCGGGGCTGCAGGCCCGGCCCCGCGGCTGATGATCCCACGCGCTGGCTGGTTCCAGTCCCAGAACCCGAGGCTAACGCTGAAAACAGAGGCAGCAGCCGCCAAAGGAGCCCGATGGCTTCCATCCCGCCAGAAGAGAGCAGTTAATGCTAGTATTCAGACTCTCCTGTGTGTTCGCTTCCCTCCAAAAGGGATGGAGCTCCAAAAGGTTCTTCGTCTTGAATGACTCTTTCCACCTTATTTCTGGAGGATAGTGCATGCACTCGATCCTCTCTTTTCTCCAAATGCAAGGAGCGAACTGGAGTCTCAGTAAAGCAGGGCTGGAAGCTCGGGAGCGAATCAAAAGCCGCTAAGCGCGCTGGGACCCTGTGCCTCTTGCGCGCTGCACCGATTGCCGCGCCCCCGTCTGTAGCTCGCAGTGTTCCGTAATCAGAGAAACTACTATGGTTGAACGGAGGTGGCAATTGGGTACCGTCCTCTCTTGCCACGGGCGGCAAGAGCTGGCGTCTGTCCGTTCTCGGGTAGCCACCAACCCTCCTCAACTTTCCAGTTGGGAACGGTGGCTCCCAGCTGGTGTCTGCCGTCCTGGCTGCCTCTCACGCTCCTTCCGTCCCAATGAGCTCCCCTCCTGTCGTCTCAGAGGGAACTGAGGTCGAGGACAGCTCTCTCAGTACCCCACGGGCGACCCACCGCAGTGGGCAGTCTTCGGGCTCCAATGCTAGCTGAACTTAACTGCCTGAATCGAACCGCACGCTGCCGAGCCGAGGCTCAGGCCGCTGCCCCGCAAGTTTGCAACGTCCTTGCTCTGCGTCCGCGGCTCATCTTCTCGGAGTTCGCAGGCACCAAAGCGGCCCGGCGGCAGCGAAGGAGTGAAAGCATTCAAGACAGCAGCGCCCGAAATCTTGCTGCCCTCTCCTCCGCAGCCGGGTAGCTTCGGGTGGCAACACCCGCGGCTTCGGGTGATTGGTCAGAGGGCAATGGAAGGCGCCTTGGTGCTCCGCGACCCTCAGGACAGCGGCAATGGGAGATGTCAGCTGCTACCGCCGCTGCCGCCCCGGGAGCAGCGCGATCGCATCTGCCTGGGTCCCCGCCACTTGCAGCTGGCTGAGCCGCGAGCGCGCGCGGGAAAGGGGCGGGGCCGGTGGGGGCGTGGTTCGAACGCCCACTCTGCGCCGCTGCCGGGTGCACGCAGGCCTACCCCGCCTAGCTCGCACACGGTGCCCAATGGCGAGCCGTGGTCGGCTCCTATGCAAATCTGCAGAGGCCTAGGCTTTCATTGAGAAAAGCATAGACCCCGCCCCTCCCTCTCCTCTTCCCTCACCTCTGTCTCCTTCCTTCCCCTCCTCCAGATTCCCTGCCCTATTTCTCTGCTGTGTGAACAGGATAAATGGGAGGTCTGGAAAAGGCCTTTGCAATCAAGCACTCTCCCTAATTATGCATTTAAGAAATTAGACCGGTCCGACTCGGAAAAGGAGGTTCTGGAATAAAACTGGAGAGGGAAAGTGGGGGTTGGGGGGGTTCATGAAGAAGAGAGGGGAATGCGACAAATCTGAGAACTGCTTGGAATAGGGCCTTGAGACAGAATCCTCTCTGGCCCTTTCATTAATTAAACGTAGTATTGGGAACTGGCGGTCCCGCCACCCACACGGGAAAAGTTGTCAAGTTGGGGGTGGGGAGTGGTGGTGAACTCACTTGACTTCAACACATACAGATCAGACCCGTCAAATTATCCCCCGTTTAATCAGAAGAGAAACATAACGTGTGTCACCTACTTTTAGACTGTGCAAGGTAAATATTGTGAATTCCAGTTTTAGAGATGAGGAAAACTGTCAGAGATCTTAATTGATTTTCCTTGACTCGCATAATCGCATGTCTCTACCAAGCTCTTACTCATGTGCTCTTAACCACGGATCTGCCACACACCTCCTTCAGTAACAGGCACCTCCTTCAGTAACAGGCTAAGAAGACGTAAGGATGACTCAGTTGAATTAAATAATGATGGATAGGACAGTTCTGCTCACAGTCTGGGGAGTGAAAGTTCAAAACTGACGGCTTTTCTTTTTCACATGTGAACTAAGGGCTATCTACCCTGTCTCTCTTCCCTTCATCTCTCCCAAGCCATCAACTCAGATAATGGCAGTGTTTATAACAAGTGTTTCACTAGAACCAGAGACTTTAAACTACAATCATTGGTTCACATGATTCCCTTCCTTCCTTCTTCACCAAGGCTGACAGTCAGGTTTTGTGCAAAATCAGATCTAAAAATAAGGCAAGATCTTCCCTTAAGGAGCTCACAGCCTGGCAGGTGGCAGAGGCACTTCCTAGTGGGGTCAGAGCACAGAGTGAGATGACTCCCTTGTGGAGCCACAGAGGGGTGCAGTAGCTTGCGCACTGCCATCCAGGAGGGGTGGCCAAGCAGGACTTCTGCTCTCTCAGGTGGAGCTTCTTTGAAGATGAGGGCACTGCTGTTGATAACTGAAGGGCCTACTAAAACAAAATCTGTTCTTGCTTCTGGCTCTGATTGGCAACTCACTTTATTGAACAGGGAATTGCCTTTTCCCTGGATATATTGACTTTATAAGTTTAAGGGAAAAGAACGATTTGCCCTCAAAGAAGATGATTCTACCACTTTAATGGAGGGAGGAAGGCAGGAAGAAAGAGAAGAAAAAGGAGGCAAAGGTTATGGAGGTTAATATTTTTCCATTGTGCAAGCATAGGCTTAGAGTTTCATCAGATATTTCTGGCGTGAACACTGGTGGAAGAATAATTTTTGCATTGCTCAAAAGGCTAAAATTCAGGTTCTTTTACTTCCACTCCATCACTTTGTTTCTCTGCACAATTCCTGTCTGAAGCCAATGACACAATTCCTCATTGCTACAATCAATGGCCACTAGAGGGCTGCAGAGACTTGAAACTTCAAAGGAGCCATCAGAGTCTCCCTGTAGATAATGTCCCTGAACATTCATCACCCTTGCACCTGGCAGACATGGGATCTCAATTAATTGTTGTGCTTTTATATATTCTCTCAAATGCCCCCTAAGGAATGAAATGGCCCCTCTATATTAAACGACACTGATTCAAAAATGTTGTTCTCTTTTTTGTTAGATAATTTTTTTAAAGAGGCAGAAATGAATATTTGTAAGAGTCCATGGGTCAGTACACATGGTACACACATAGAAGAGAGTGCGTCACATCGCACTGTGATGGGGGGGATATGCATTGTTTCCATCAGAGAGACGAAACAGCTAAAGTTCAGAGAGGCAAGATAATTTGCCCAAAAGTCAAACAGCAAGTAAATTACATAATTAGAATTCAAACCAATTCAGTCTTTCCATCCACAATTTACACATCCCATTGGGAAAAATTAGGCCTTTTCTTCATGTCTACAATTACAATTTTGGCACTTCATTTTTATATCATTGTCATCTAAAAGGTAGGAGATGGGAATGTATACTTAAAAGTAGTGGGGGAAATAAACACAGGTAAAAAGTATGAGCACACATCATAACTAACAGGCCATCATAATGCAAAATAATTCTTGTGCAATTCCATGGCAGTGGATGGAAACTGGACTTTCAGTGATCATAATGGAGTATACACAGGTGTTAAAATATAAAGCTGTAAGCCTAAAACATATATAAAGATGTTAAATGTAAAGCTGTAAGCCTACAACATACATGATATTTAAAACAAATATTAATTCAAAAAAAACTGGGGGCATTGCCTCCCTCATTAAATATTTATAGCAATACCCTTGGGGAAGGAATAGTAACTCTTTTGTAAATCATAAATGGAAGTTCTGGGAACATACTCATGAGCAATAAGGACAAGAGAGTAACTCCCAACTATAACAAAGCTTATGAGCCCTCCCTGGTGACCCAATGGGTTGGAGCACTGCATTGTGAAGCTAAGCCGTGGCTGCTTCAGCACGAGTTCGATCCCCACCCTGGAGGTGACCCACATGGCGCAGCAGACCTCTCCTCACCCACTGCTCCCCTCAGCAGTGTACTTTGTCAGTCTGTCTGTTCTACTCCCCATTCTGTCTCTGGTGAGTCCTCTCGCCGTCCCTGCACCTCTGGCCTGTACGCCAGTTCTATATGCATAAATAAATAAAAATATTTGAAAAAACTTTAAAAAATAAAGTTTGTTACATGATTTAAACCTAAATATCTAACTAAAAAGGCCATGTCCTCAAATTTTAGATGAACTCACAGAGAGAAAACGAAGTAAGGTGAAATGTGCTGAGATGGGCAGAGGTAAACGGGGAAAAACTGAAAGCCCAATTCAAAACAAGAACTGTAAGACATACAAGAAGATTGTGGGCACTCAGAGGAGAAAGTTGATGAGGAAGACGGCTGCTCCAGCCACCTGGATGAAGCCTTGGGTATTGACGTTGGGGAGGAAAGAAGGCAAGTACATCAGGTACCAACAGAGGAAAGGGCCAAGACAGATAAGACTTTCCCAGGAAGTAGTGAATTTCTAGAAATGGAGAAGTGGAAGACAGGGCTAAAGAACGGTTGGAATTCTCTATAAAGAAAACAGTGATAAAAAAATAGCGTTTCTAATTCAGGCAGTGTGACTTCAGGCAAAACACACCTCACAGCTGCAAAATCTGATATTTACAGGGTTAATTAGGTCAGGCATTCAGTTGGTCAAGAAAAAGGAGGGGAGAGAAGTAGAGGACAGGAAGAGAAAGAAGGAAAAGAGGAGGAAATGAAGAAAGAGAAAAGGCAGGAGAAAATTCAGTAAGTGAAACTGAAGCTCACGTTACAAGACACAGCTAAGACATTTGGAAACCCGCCTCAAGGTAGTAATGACTGCTCCGAAAGCAGAAACTATGACCTAGAAGAAACAGTCAAATGAACTTACCCTGGGTTTGTGTTCAGGAAAGAGGATATTTATCACAGTCTTGCATCTCAGACATACTATGACCTTGGGGAAACCCTTGGTTTTTCTGGGTTCATGTATCAGGAGGACCAAACAGGACAGAATCTATAAGATATATGTCCACTCCCAAATTCTATGTGTGATTCTCCAAATGAACAAAAGCTCTTATCCAAGACTGGGAATGGAAGTTGACAGGTACCAGAAAGGAGACTATGAACTTTCAGGGAAACCAGAAAGAGTCTGG